GATCTGCGCATGTGGCTCATCAGTCATTGGATACTGCTCCAGTTGGATAATCAGTGGCTTGAGATCTTGTTCGTCGGTCTCGTTCTTTAAATCGCCAATTGTTATTTCCTGCTCGTTAATTTTTGGATTTAGCTCAATCTCATCAGTCGGTATCTTCGGTTCATCGATCTTTGACTCAAGCTTGCCGACATCCAACCCGATCATCTGTAATTCCGGTGCCATGATCTGTAAAATCGATAAATTTTGTAATATGTATTATCGTACCAATAGCATTTAATCAAATTAATATAAGCCAATAATATAAATTAGTCACTAATTATTAGTCATTAAATATATGTCTATTGATAAGAACATTACACATCAAATAATTGTAATGAATTATAATAAATTATCAGTTGATTGTTTTCAATAACTACTATACAGTTCCTTTAAAAGAAAAACGTAATAAAATATCTAGCTTAAGTTAGTCATTTCACCTTCTCATAAGTTTGGTTGATATTTTTTTTTACATATTGCAATATCAAATCCTCTATCTCGGCAATAGATTCGTAATACTGTGGTATTGGCTCATAGTCTTTATTTTGTCCTCTGATATACGACACCGGTATGCTCAAATCTGTACGAAAAAAATTCAATAAAAAATAAGCAGTTGGAAAATCACCATGGCTTATGCTTTAAATGTTTCAAGCGTTTATTTGAAGTTAATTGTCTTTTACATTCTTTTCTTTAGAAATATTTACCTCGTATACCTTGCACCATTGTCTCTTTAAATGTCTCGCCATTTTCAATTGTTTCAGTTGTGTTATCGTCCATTCGTGTTGAATCTTCTGCCTTTTTATCTAATGTACTTCCTAATCACGCGGATATAATTTATTTTACTATCATTACATTCTGTTACAGAAGTAAGAAAACTATTTACTCTTTTTATTCGTCGACTTTTTTACTTCATTTTTATGTTGGTTTTTGTGAGTCGATTTTCGACTCAAAGGCTTCTTACGAGGGTCATTCTGTACGTGTGATTTTTTCGTCAATGTGTTGGTAGCCATTTTCAATTGCGCTACTTTCCGCTAAAAAAAAACACGATTGTGAGTTAATTTAAGCTAATAATTGAATAATTAATTGATTTTATTTTCATTAAATATATAGTTATGAGTATTCACTTTGTTGTCGGCGATCTCCACCGCCTTTCTTTTTAATGGCCTCGAGAGCCTTTCGATGCTCAATTGCATCTCCTCTTGACTCATTTTACGCTGGACCTAAATTGTAAAAATTGGAAAATTGAAAAAAAAAAATTTATTTTCACATTAAGTGCTAATTCAGCATATATTAGTGTAATATATTATTGTTTTTGATCAACGTCTCGTTTTAAAGGAATTGAGAGCCTATTGACGCCCCAATTCATTTCCACTACAGTCATTTTACGATAAACCAAAATCTCACTCTCGCACATTCATCGTGGATTATTTAAAAAACGATATCTTATCGTACGTTCATATTAATCATATCATACCTTCTTAGTGTGCGTTTGGTCCGTCAGTGTCGTCTTAGTACATTTTGGGATTTGTTTGTTCAAAATATTCTTGCCCGATTGCATTTCGATAAAATTCATGTAAAACATGTAGTTCTGATCATTAACCTTGTTGTCGGCGATTTCCACCGTCTTTCTTTTCAAAGGCCTCGAGAGCCTTTCGATGCTCAATTGCATCTCCTCTTGATTCATTTTACGCTGGACCTAAATTGTAAAAATTGAAAAATTGAAAAAAAAAATTTTATTTTCACATTAAGTGCTAATTCAACATATATTTGTATAATATATTATTGTTTTTGATCAACGTATCGTTTTAAAGGTATTGAAAACCTATTGACGTCCCGATTCATTTTCACTACTGTCATTTTACGATAAACCTAAATCTCACACTCGCACATGCATCGTGCATTGCTTAAAAGAACGATATCTTATCGTACGTTCATATCAATCAAATTATACCTTCTTAGTCAGCATTTGGTCCGCCAGTGTCGTGTTAGTACATGTAAGGATTCGTTTGTTCGAAATATTTTTGGTCGATAGCATTTTGATCAAATTCCTGTAAATTAATAAACTATGCAATAAACGATTTTGAACCACGCGAACGATTTCTGATAAAATCCAAAACTCTTAAACTAAATATGACTATAAACTAAATATGTTAATGTGACTTTAACGTTGCCTTGGATAATCTGTGAGCGCTTAATAATCTTCGATGCATGAATTCTTAACAAACAATATGCAAGTGGCCAGAACTTAAATACGATCAGTATTTATTTGTTGACTAAATTGCTATATTATTACCGTCGAGATAAACGATTGAATTATAAAAATGTTTTCTATCATATTAATACTAAAATAGTTCCTTAAAGTTTTAGTCACGCTCTCATTTAATCTAGTATACTAAAACAGTAGCACACACTGCTTTGTCCTAATACATAATATCGTACTATTCGAGATCTAATAATTTAGTTTTACATTAAACATCATCGATTTCGTCCCGCTCGCGAGAATATTATAATATTGGAATTATCAATAAAGGCGCCGACAGCAATAGTCCGAAGAAATCGATAGTAAAGGCTTCGCATGTTTATACGCTGCGTATAGGCCTGTGCGATGTGGAGAGCGAGTCGAGATTATAATAACATGTATAATTGGAAACGTAGTCGTCTTCGTCGCCGTCGTCGGTGCCCATAGAGGAAAATAGTTTTAATAATTACGATGTGTCTTCCGTTAAAAAAATGTTTTATCAAAGAGCGGTTGTGTGAGCGTTAAAATCAATAATAATAAAAAAAAAAAAACTAATCTAATTTTGAAATTAAAATAACTGTTATTGAAAAATATCTATTTTGGTTCATTTGTGTATTGTACTTTTATACAATATAGTCAATATACCAGTAGCGGTTTGGAACTACCAAAATCCCCTCTATTTAAGTACCACTTACCTTACACAATAATATTATTTATATTATACTGGTACTAAAAATACATAAAATAAATACAAGTATAAGTTCAAAATATTTTAAATTGTGTTGAAGTCACTATAATGAATATATAAAATTTGAATCCAATGATAGGTATCATTGTATATGAAAAATTATTCTGGACGGAGATGATTTGTTAGCCTAGGATATATTTTCCAGTAGATAGTAAAAAAGGTTAAAATTTTGTATTCAATTTTCAACTCTTAGCTACTTAGGTATACAAAATGTTTTGTACATTTTAACTACAAAACAATATGCAATTATTTATGATTTTAACAAATTTTTGTCAATATTTGAACTTCAAACGCTAATAAAAAATAATTGTGCCAATGTATTCTTATAATTTTATAATCACTATACGACTAACTCATGATGAACTTTATATTAAATTTTCAAATATTTTGACTCGACCAAAAAAATTTTATCAATATTTATAAAAAAAAAAATAAGCGAAAACGAGTTCTTACAATACCTATATAAGCATATATAAGCATTAAAATAAGTGAAATATTTTTAAAATTAAATCATGTAAAGAAAATGTCAATCTAAATAACTGGTGAAATTTTCAAGTATCTACAACTTATAATTTTTGAATAATAACAAATATTGAAATATATTTAAAATTGTTTGAGGATAAATCGTTGTCGTTATGTAATTTTCCAAAAAATTTAAAATTCAAATGCTCATAACATTTTTCCTATAATGAGGCTTCGAGTTTTCTCTATAGCTATTTGAAGAAAAACTTACGGAAAACTTAGTGTTGAATTTTTTAATCTAAGATTAAAAAAAATATAGGAACAAAAAATACTAGGATTCACCATATATACATATACCACCCTACACCAAATTATTTAAAAGGCTAGTGTCCCTCTACTCCCAGGGATTAGCGTTACTGACGTGAGGACGCTTGAGATTGATAATTAGAGCATGCCTGTGAAAAAATTCCTAAAAATGTAAAATAGTGTTATCAGAAACTTGGTACATAGAATTATAGAAAGGTCTGTTCTTTTATATAATATATTATTATACCTATATATTATGTGTTATATAATATAAGTATAATATAATATATATATTTTTTTTATATTATATTAAATTATGATTACTCGGCGAGCTAGTTATTAAAATTATTTGTTAACACCATACACCACAGTCTTGTTTTACAATTCATATATTTATATCAATAATAATAATACCATTAATATCATTGGTTTTATAATAGATATTATATAGTATTTATATAACAATGTATCAAATTAATGTTATTAATAATAGTTCACTGATAAGTTATTTATAGTCCAGAGATTAGTGGGGTACATGGAAATATCATAGAAGTATAGATATAGATATTTCATATTAGATATCTATGGGAAATATAACACCCTGCCATAGTATGGAGAGGTGTACACCGCACTGCTCGACAGTTTTCGACTACAGCGCTCTATAACGGCCGACAGTCTGGAATTGGCGACCGGTTTTTTCTACAGCGTAAAGCGCGTTACACACTACCTGATTTAATCGGGCCGACAGGATACCTGACCAAATCAGATGTTGCGTACACACAGTACGACCACCACACGATTTAGTCAGTCTTAACACCGTTTTATTAAACTGGAAGTAGGTACTAGGTACACACACGTGTTATCACGTTAATCTCAATAAACCAACTAAAATCCGCCCGACAGTGCTACATACTATATGATTTGGTCGGTCGGTCGGGCGATCAGATGGTATGGCCACCTGACAAGACCCGACAGGATTAAAGTCAGACGACACGTCTACACACGACCTGATATGACGTCTGATCTGACCAAATTATCCTGTCGGCCCGACCAAATCAGGTAGTGTGTAACGCGCTTAACTCATCTGTCTATTCTATAATCAATGGTAACATGCACAAGAAGACCAATTTTGATAGTTGTAATTTGTTTTATTTGTGTCAAAAACTTGAATATAAAGATATATTTAGATATAATTTCCTTGTATATTGTCCCCGTTCATGCAAAACACACTAAGTTCAAAAATCGGTTTTCCGATTTATTGTTGTATAAAATTCAGTTTGAAAATATCTATAATATGCTATTTTCAACTAAGTCCCATTATTATTTAATAATGATTAATAAACAGTTGAAAATGTCCATTCGATAGTTTCCTTAATACGCAGAAGACACTAAGTCCACACGTAGACTTAATACGTTATGCACGAGTTGCTGTATATTTATAGAATATAGTTAAACTAATATGCAAAATTAATTATGTCCATTTTTAATCATTATTGAATGGTTACAGTCAAGATAATAATATTATCTTCTAAGACCGTGGTTACAATTAAATAAATTAGATTTTATCATTGATTATAAATATTTATAAATAGGTACTAATATTAATATTTCCCACTAACATTAGAATATTATTTTGATAAGAATTATTAGTTAAATTATTTAACTTTAAAATATGTTTGTTATGTTAATGTTGTAAGTTAACTATTATTTAAGCGTGATCACTATTTTATAGTGCCAAAATGAGTCGATTTAGTAAAATTAATAATATTATCTCATTAGCTTCGACTTCCACTGGTGTCAATTCGAACTTAACTAATTCAGAATCAGTAAGTATTTATTTTAAAACATATTATTATAATTTTATTGCTGCTGAAGCATACTACACGTATTTATTATATAAAATACAATACATTTACTTAAAATACGTAGAATTAATAGTTTGAATTTAATTATTTATTATTGTAATAATAGAGTTCAAATGATTTTGATGACTCTGATGTAGACTGTGATTATATTCCATGCCAAACACAGGTAACTAATATTATTATTTTAATAGCTTAGTATATCTCACACCAACTTATCATTTTTGTATAATTATTAATAGTTAAAAACACAGATGAATACCTAATAAATAATGTTTTATTTATTATGAATAAAAATTAAAGATCATTATTAATTTAATGGTTGGATTAGACAACCTACTTGTAGTTTTATTGTTGTGCATTGTTGAGTTATACAGATTTTACAAATTATTATACCAATTTTTGTACATTTGACAATAATTGGTTATGAGGTATATTCATAGTATTAAACTATGATGTATAATAATATAGTTAAATTATAATATTCAATTTTACTTATTATATATAAAATAAATCCTAACATAGTTCAAAACTTAATTTTTGTTACAACTGTTAATTTAAATTTATATTTTAGGAAAATACAGACTCTGAAAATGAAAACTCAGAATTATCATATCATACACTACAACCAGTTGAGCAAGTGCCATTGATAAATAATACTGTTTATTCAGAGCATGTAGTTAATGAACCTGATAATATCGATCAAGGTAAAATTAAAGCTTGAATAATAATAATATTATGTTAAATAATAGTTGTAATAATATTCTGAAAGTGTAATTGATTTTTTCTTTTAGTGGTTTATGATGATATTCCTCAAACAACCAATGTTGAACCTACTAAAGAATCACATTATGTCCGAAAAAAGTCTAAAAGGCATTATCTTGACAGCCGTTTATCAATTTCTATAATGCACGAGCTTTATAAAACGTTAGAAAACTACTACAATCCATATACACCATAAATCAAACCACCAAGTTTAACAACATACAATTGAGTGTTTTTTCAAGAGTACAATCTTTCATTTTATAAACCAAAAAAGGATCAATGTTCTCTTTGTACTAAATACAATGAGGCTAATGAAAATGAAAAAAAAATTTTGAAATTGATTTATGAAAGTTATAAAGAATGAGAAAAATCAGCAAACTTGAACAATTCTCTTGATAAAGAAAAAGCTTCAACTAATTCAAATTTTGTGATAGTTACTTATGATTTGCAAAGTGTTCTTCAGATTCCTTCAAGTGATGTATCTCCAATGTACTGTAGTCATAAACTTTGCTGTTACAATTTTACAGTATGTGAAGAGGCATTGCCTAATAAAGCATACTGTTATGTTTGGACAGAGGTACACAGGAAAAGAGGAAGCAATGAAATTGGTTCATGTTAGTACCGTTACATAAATACACTTGATATAAATGTAACTGGTTTATCTCTTTTTTTCTGATACTTGTGGTGGCCAGAATAAAAACAAAAATGTTGCAGCAATTCTTATGTTGACAGTTCAAACCAGTAATCAAGTTATTGAACAAAAATTTTTAGAATTGGGTCATTCTATGATGGAATGTGATTCAATGCATAGCTCTATTAAAAAAGCTAAAAAATACACTAGAGTATACACAGTAAATGTTTGGTTAAACATCTTCAAGTATGCTCGCTCTTCTCATCATCGGAGTAATGCTCAGCCTTATGAAGTAATTGAAATTGAATATAATGAATTTTATGATTTAGCAGCATTATCAAATGCATATTTGCAAAATACTAGTATTAACACAAGTGGTAAAAAAAGTCAGCTGGCTAAAAATAAAAACTTTAAGATACGACAAAGATAATACAAATCATTTGCTTTATCGTTATGATTATACTGATGAGTTTTGTAAAATAAATATAAAATTAGTAAAAAGAAGGTCAACTGCGCGAACCAGGTTTATTCCTAAAGAAACTGATCAACTTAAAAAAGCTTATACAAGTATGTTATCAATATCAATAGCGAACACAATGATTTGCAAAAGTTATGCAAAAAAAAATGTAATTCCTTCACAATACCATGCTTGGTATGCTTCTCTCCCATGCACAACAAGAGTGTTAGATTTAAATCTTAACCTAATCTTACGGTTCTACAAGTAAATGTTGTAACCAAATTCAATTTAAAAGCCTTACGATTAATGAAAACTGCTTCAGGGTGTAAGTCTCTTATTCTAGATTGAACACTAAAAAATTATATGATTTATAATTTATAAGAAATAATTATTTTTAATTTATATAAATAAGTACTCAAGTAAAAAAAAAATAACTTTTTCCAATATTATATCTAGTTTTTATTAAATTTTCTGCAAAGAATAAATACATTTAAAGCAAAAAATAGTATTACAAGATCTAATATATTCTAGCCATTTAAATTCACTGTAGTATTTAGCATTAATACTTCTATTCTGAGTTCAAAATGTTGTTAATGGAAATATCTAAAAAATATAAATTCTTCAGTATATTCTTTGTAAAAGAAAATAATGTAACACAATATATTAAAACTATTTAATGAATTATGTTATTGATCAAGAATCAAATTATTTTTTGTTTTATTTAAACTATAAATAATTTATTATTTAAGTATTTTTTATTTACTTGAAATTTAGGTTATTTTGGACCTAAATTAATATCCCCCTAATCATCAGACTGTATATTCAAATTTAAAACATCCTTTTTCAGTTCAATTTTTTCATCATTCCCGTTATGTTCATAAAGTTCATGGTTATATATTTTATTTGCTTTTGAATCATCAAATGATTCTTGACATGTCAAAATTATTTATTCATATTTATGTTCTCTGTTTCATTTTGTTTTTAATATTCAAAATTGAAGAACATACTTAAAATTATTCTAACTATTCAGAGGCGTATACAAGGGGGGATGTAGGGGTCAGATTTCCCATCTCATAGGCCTTTTTAAAATTGTATAAAATAGTGTTCTATTTATGTTTGTTAAATCATTTCATTCATACAAATTACATTTTTTTTATCATTTCTGCCAAGAGTATATGAGTATTAATATTAATATAAAATAAATAAAAAAAACTTAGCCTTTTCTAACGTACTTCTTATATCACAATTGAGAAATATTTATAAATATTATTTATTTTTATAAGATACAATTTTTGATGTTTAATCAATATTTCAAATATCAATAAATTGTTATATTTGTACATGGTTATATTCTAACATGTCCTATAACCTAATCATTTTGAAACTTAATTGAAAGTTTATAAAAACTATTACAACTTTAAAAGAGCTCAGTATTCAATCGGTTAAAGTTTTAAGATGAATTGTTGTAAATAAAAAACATTTAAATTTAAATAATTTTTTTGGTGGCATACTGCAACGGGTGCAATGATGAGACAGATAATCTATGCCTAATATTACTTGTCTTATTCTATTTACGTTTATTAAATATTGTCACTCTTACAAATTATATTTTTTTATAATTCCTGCTCATTGTATATATTAATACTAATAAAATAAAAAAATAAATTATTATTTATTTTTATTTAATTATTAAAGTGTAATTAATTATTGAAATATAATATTTGTTTTTTTTTTATTAGAGTAAACAGCCAAAATCTAGGAATGAAACAAACTTATGAGCGACAATCACTTATCTACTTATTCCCAGGAATAATGGTATGTCGTTTTTATTTTGAATAACTACTGTAATTGTAATAAAATCGATTAAATTTATGTTTTTAAGTTTCGAACACATTTTTTTATATTTAATCCATTAAGTTTAAAACTTAAAATAATTAAGTATTCTCTGTTATGTAAATAATATTTTTCCATTACTTAAATCAATTTTTTTCCTTTCTATATTTATTTAAATTTTTATTACTTTAAATTTATAAATTAAATTTCAATTTATTTGAATTGGTATTTGTTTTTTTTTTTATTATTAAATACATTTTTGTGTTTCACCTGTATGAGTAATTTCATAAAATAATAACAAATTAACAACAATTTATTACTAAATAATTTATTAATTTACCGTTGTCAAGTACTTCATAATATTTCAATACGTCATTATATATTATTATACATTATATACTATTTTTTTATAATATTTCAATTCGTCATTATACATTATTATACATCATATACTATTTTTATATCATTCCAGAAAACTTCTAATAAATCGTGTTGGGTATTAACGGACCTCCACCATTCTTCTATTAATTGTCGGTCTAACAAATCTGTCGCTCCTCGGGTTTTAATTCCGTATTTAGTTTTAACATGTCTCCATATACACTCGATTGTTTGTGTTTGGGCGCCCGTTGTAGGATCAACAAAAAACTCGGAATGATTGACGGTTTCGTGATGATAACCTATATCTTTTAAGGTACTATATGCTCGCCATTGATCTGAATAAATAATTGATCCTAGCTCTATTTCATTTTGTATTATTGGTAATAAAGTTGCTTTATCTCTTTTTTCCACTTTAAAAAATCTTCGTTCTTTAACCCCATCAACATTTTTACAACACATACCAAAAATTCATGGACCTTGAATGCGAGTACCATAATTTCTTTGAGTCGAATAATCATCGTCAATATCGTCAGCATCACTTGATACATTGTCATCTACATTTGAAATTATATCTCCATTTCTCAATCGTCCTCTATTATATTTATGCTTGCCTTGAAATAGTGACTCGTCAATTTGAACAATTTTCCCTGGACTATCCATTTTCTTACGTTTATCAAACATTGCAACTGCTACATCTCTACATAAATTATTCCAATCTACAATTGTATTACGAGTTTTTATTGTAAATTTTTCGGTCATTGAAACTGGTATTTGATACACCCAATATCATACTAATTCAACAATTTCATTTAACGCTAAACCACTATTACTTTTACCATTTTTATCGTAATATGTAAAAAAAGGATTTTTTTTTCTTAAAGAGTGATAAGTTTGACAACCTTTTTTTTGACATCGTAAATAAGTAGTTTTTAATAAATCACTATTTGAGTTTCTTTTACGATTATTTTTTTGATATTCTTTCAACGTACCTCCACAAATAACACCAACTTTTAATTTGGAACAACTACCAAGTTCTGGGAGCAAGTTTCTCTCTTGAAGATATTTAACACATGTTTTCTCATTACATATTATATGCCCGTACAAATAGCGCATTGATTTATTCATTTTATAATAAAAAGTAAAACTCGCAACGAATAGGATACTTACAGGAACACAACACAGATACTATATAGACTAAAATAATATATCTAACAGTAAGTTATCATGAGTCTTGGTGGATCAGATATCATAATGGCTATTAAGATATAGTTTTGTACAACTGCTATAATATGTTATTTATCTTAATGACTCAAATGTACTTTCCTGTAATAAACTGAAATAAAATAAAAATAACTATGGTAGGTAGCATACTACACGCATACAGTGTTTTGGTAGATACCATTTTATGGGTAGGTAGCATATTAGACGAGAACCAATAATCCTTATTACATCACAGGTACTTAGTTGTGTTATTATGATGTATGTTTTCAATTTTTCTTGGGTTTAGGTAGGTAGTGCACGTGCACTTGTGCACATACACACGAGCCGCCACTGTCGCGGTGGTAGATAACAGTGGTATTACGCGCTGTGATGCATCACAAAATCCCAATAATAAACAACGGCCACTGGACCGCGTGTTAAAATGCCACGGAATCTTAATCGGATGGAGGCAGGCCAGTGAATCGACGAACATAGCCCACTCTTGCATAATATGACAACCAAAAAAAAAAAAAAAAAGGTTTGAAAACATATTTACCAAACATCACATGTGAAAATGTTGGTTAGAAAATAATGGTTTGGCAATGATGTATATACATAGTGATATAATGATTAACCCTGATGATGTCCTAAATAAATTAGTGACCAAAACAAGAAAACTACGGTGGATGTAAATTTTAATGTAATTAAAATATTGTTTGACTTTAAATGCTTTAAATAAAGTACAAGAAAATTTAAAATAATATGTTTTACGTATACCTACCTATTGTATAGATCTAAACCGTTATCATCTGGTTTTGTAACACAATGATCGGATGTATTTTCACCTGGCATCCTTTTTTTTGCGTCAAACTCGTTCTTGAGGAAAATCTATTTCAGTAAGGCCTTTGCTTATAGCGAATTGTTTAGTTTCCATCAATAAATCATGTGCACACTGAACTGTTCTAATATTTTTATTTTTTTAGTAGTTTAATCAACAATACATAGTGCCCGAATAAAGTCAATAGATGATGATTAAAGGTATTTTGATAAAGGCGTGGTAAATGCAAAAATATTTTTCATTAACAGAAGATTTATAACAAATTTAAAAGATGATAAGATTTCTATCAAGTTTTTAGATGTGAATGAACAATCACGATCCATAGATTTTGACAATATTTTGTATGCTTTTTCCCGCATGCTTATTTTTACTCGTGCAAGAACTAAATTGAACAAATGTGAACGCTGATAATACGCATACAAGTTCTTGCATGCTCAAACTTGCATGCAGTCCAACATGTCGGACAGAATTTGTATGCCAGTTTATTCTCGAACACGAATAGTTAACTGCGTAATCAATGTGATTGTGTTATATGAACTTTTAACATTTTTTTTAATAATAATGATTATAATAATATTAATACAGTTATTAATATAAATTATTTTATTATATTTTATATTATATATATTATATTTATCATTCGCGTTTCAGCTGTCGTTGTGTTCGGTTGGGTTCCTCCATCTACTCTAATCGCAGCTATTATTTATATTTATTGTATCTATCTCATTAGTGTATTTTAATTACCTTCATATGTCGTCGTCTTCGGGCGGTGACTCGCGGTCGGGTAAATCACTTGCTCCAAAGTAAAATCTATTTTGCCTTCTATTCGTGCGTCTGACCCCAGCTATACACCTGTAATCTCAAAAAAAAATGTACGTAAGTCAAAAGCCAACTCACTCTCACCTAAATCCCCTGAATTTCAACAAATTTTAAACAACGCTCCGATATTAAATACTTCGGCCTTCGATTATAATAATCTCGTATCTACGGAAAATAGTACGTCGCATGACTCGACCATTAACAACAGCTTATCTTCTGATAATTTTAATGATCCTACATCGCGCTCCGGTTCCGGTGCGATTTCAACGCCAATTACTAATACTACGTATTCCACTGATAACCAAAATGATATTAATATGTCGTCTCAATCTACACAACAGACCTTCACTGCTGATTATAACGGTCCCTATGTGCCTATCCATGCCTCCCCCTAAATACTGGCCTGTTTCTAAGCTAAAAGAAATAAATAAAATCAATATAGCACCTGTACGTACAATTAGGTACCATAACTAGTCAGGACTTGTACGTGTTAAGGTCCTGTACATTAATGATTTTGGCTGTTTATTGTTATAAAAAAAAAAAACCAACTCAATGTTTCAACGTTCCAGTAAACTAAGTACACTTTTATATATATTATAATACTAGTATTTTTCTTTTTGTCCTCATTTAAATGTCAAAATTCTATTATACTATTCTAAACTATTTTTCTATAGCGTGTGCGTGAATATAAATATCAATAAAATAATATTTGTTATTCGAAGCATGGATAAACAATTTTTAATTCGAATTTTTTTGTAAATCTTGATGCTTTCTGTAAATATACTCGGGCAAAATATAAACTGTCGTGTATTATTGTTGCTACTGTCTACATTTTACGGGGCCATCTATTCTTTTTTTACAGACCTGCTATCTCGTTGGATGTGCTTCTCTTTTTTTCTCCTCCAAATATCTTCTTCAGCTTTGTTACAGTACTTATTAGTTTCAGCTTAAATAATCATTTCATTATTATATTTTAGTTTTTAAATTGTATTTTACTATTTTTGCTGATATTTATATTATATGAGATCTTCATCTATTCAATGGGTTCTATTGGATGAGAAAAATGAAAAGCAAAATAATGAACATAATTTTATACGGTTTTATATAAAACGTGTAAATAATTTACTCGAAACCTTGAGCACACATGATCAAAAATTCTTTAAATTCTTTTATTTTCATAGTTTATCATGTATTATTGTAAATATTAAATTTTAAATATATTTTTTTTGAGGCAATTATAGCAGAACTGTGCTTAGTATATTTTATTATGTGATAAATATTTCATACATTAATTTAATATTTTTAATCAATGATTGATAACAATAATAACGATTTACTGTTTATGTACATATGTTATTTTAATTCGTCGTATAAATAAAAAAAACCTTAAGTAACCAGGATTTCTCATTTTAACCAACCTCCGTTGTAGTGAAAACCATCTCTCTTCCAGCTGCAGCAAAACCACTGTTTTCCCGATCAACTTTAAGAAATATAAATTTAATCGCTATCATTTTGCTTATAGTTTTTATCTAAAGGAAAAATAAACTCGTGGGTGCAGGTTACACTACACCAATACTCGACACAAATATTTTCAATAGTGAGTTAGTAGTTAATTTTTAACAGTCAGTTAGTACCGTTTTCTCAGAATAAAACAGAAATCAAACTATTTCCTCTGGTTTTTATTTTGATGACCCATGTATTCGATGAATTTAACTTTCATCGACTCATCATTTTTTTTCGCGTATAATGTATAAATATATACGATATACTTACATACTATGACCGAAAATATTGTGTGGTTTCATTCAATGCATAATGATCATATTATCGTTAGTCTGTTACGAGCCAACCATGATGTTAAAAATAGATATCCAATCAAAATTTTTTTTAAAAAATTCCTTGCACTACGAATATAATAGGTCGTACAATTTTTGAAACCCTGTTATGTTAAACAATTCATTTTTTTCCGCTTGGTAATATGAATTATATTTTATTTACAACGGACAGGTCTTGTAGGAGGTAGAGGGGACGTAAGGTGACTTAGTCTTCCTATCACTCCCTGTGTTGCATGAAAAGCTTTCTCTTTTGGATTCCTTTGAAAATTTCACTCGATAATTCCAGTGTCCAATCGAATTAATAGTTTATGTTAAAAATTACTAATTACATGTTAGTTTATAAGATTTATTTTCGTTGAATATTTAAATTATTTTATTTTTTGAAAAATAACCAACAATATTGAGACCATACGTTTATTTATCATGGTACCTAAATGTACTTGATATATATGTATATTTAATAACATTACATATTCATTTGAAAGGTACATGGGACGCTCGAAATGGTAATTAGGTTTAGCCTAAATAGGTAAAAAACATTTATCCTATTGGTTGCTATCGTTTTGAACTCGTGATATTTGGAATCATGGATCATTAGTCATTAAATTGTTTGTATAATATATTTAAAATGTACTAAATAATGATGTTTTGATTTATAATTAGTTTCCTTCAATATGAAGTAAAATATTTCATATTTTGAACTAGATAAAATTATTTACTTTTTTGTAGACGTCTTGGCTGTAACTAATAATTATTTTAAAATTGTTAAAGTCAAAGTTGTTTTAAAATTTTGTAAATCAACCAGATTTCTGAAATTTCGAGAATTTAATCATTTGCGGGCAAACTGAATATTTTCAAATTACAGAAGGCATGTTACTACAAAAAACCTCTCATTATCTTGCAAGTGTATAGGATTATTCGTTAAAGGATGTCTATGGTTGTGTATCGTATGGTACGTTTACACTCGTGCGCTTTTTCGTGCGTTAGATACATGCGTAATAGCGCACCTCGAGCTGAACAAAAAATCTTGCGATAGCCTTTTCGAGTCGAACAACAACATTTTCGTGACGTATCGCTACGACGTAAAGTTTTCCGCGCTCAGCAGGAATCCCTTCAACGTATTGAATTTTACTTATTATTTTACTTGATATTAATGTTTTAATTGTTTGAATTTAATTGAAAAAATTTATCGAAACTGAAGACCTGATCGTTCGTGTACAGATACGAATCGTCTATAGTTCCAAAATGCCGAGAAACAATAATTGTTATACATTTTTTAGCGCAGTCGACGCGTCGGGCGTGTATGCTGATTTCAATGGCGGATCCAGGATTTTCTTTTGGGGGGTTTTGAAAAATTTTTCTCTTGGGATATTTTTTATAACATTGCAGACAGTGATTGAAAATGAATTATGATAATACGGACTATAGTAAGTAATACGATACATTAATTTAAATCTAAGACTACTATTTTCTTGTATGAATAAAAAATGTAAATTATATACTTTTCCTTATACTTTAAAAAAAAAATAAATAATTTTTCGAATTCATAAAATTATTGATTTTTAATATATATTTTTCCTGAATTGGGGGTGGGGTTTAACCCTCCCCCAGGATTTGCCACTGCTTGATTTAATCAGTTTTTTTCGGAGACAGAATTTTCGTTTGCAGTAAACACTGACGAAACCCACGATCCGTGCGGTTCTTAAAAAAAAAAAAAAAATGTTATACCCCACGTTGATCGAAAAAAAACTGCGATCCTCCCTTATAAGAAAAGCGAACTCACGTGCTGCGGCTGCGGCGAACGTTCTGTATGCCGCGACGGGGTGTTGTCGCGCCGCGTTGTTGCCTCCGTCCGCCGAGCACACGCGCGACAATACGCGCTGCCGAGCGGTGGCCGGGTCGGTGGTGGGAGGCGTGGTCGGGGTACCGGCGGTCGCGCCATTGGCCACCGCCGGGCTGGGCCCCCTTTCGCGCGCCGCCGCCGCCGCCGAGTTGCCGTCCGCCGGCCGGGTGGGTGACGGCACGGCGGACCAGACGCATCGTCGCGACCGCCGCCGCCGATCGTATACCGTCGCCGCAAAACGGTGTGTGTGTGCTCTCCCGCGATCGCCGTCCGCGCCGCCGACAACTTCGATTACCGCGCGCGCACGCGCGCACACGTTCCGCTCTCCCGTCCGCGCCGACAAACCTTAAAGTTTTGTTTTTCGCCCCTTCGAATCCCGTTCACTCCCCCGCCGACGACACCACCCCTACGCGACTCGTTCGTTCCGTCCGATCTCGCCGATTCTCTCTCTCTCTCTCTCTCTCTGTCCGTCCAACTTGTTTCCGCCTTCGTCGGACCCGTTCAAAATTGGCCGCGTCAAGCAGAATCCGGTTCGTGCGGTGGCCACTGGCAAAACGGCTGAGCACAACTCGGTGGTAAGTTCAATAATGTTTTTTTTTTTTTTTTTTTTCATTTTTTCCTCACACCGTTCGCGTTACAGAGGGATGTTCGTACGTTCGCAGTCGAAACATTGTCTAATGTTACACGTTGTTTTCGTACCGAATACGCTGTGTGTGTTTATAGGCCCGGTAAGTCATGACACGGTACGCGCCGCTAGTGTCCTAGATAGCGTCGGACGTCGTTTTTTTTTTACGATTTATCGCTCCTCAGACGCGCGTAGTCGACGGTTTAACACGTTGAGCCGGAGGCGTGTTGAGGTAAAAAGTTCGTACCGGAAAACGCAAGCGTAGAGTTCAATAACGACCAATATTGAATTTACTGTTGTAGTCGTTTTTATAAATAATCCGTGTGTACAAGGTGTACCTTCGGTGTTTTATCGCCCGGTGGGATACTTAAAATTTGCCGCGCCTTAAATCATATTTAAACGCCAATAAATCGATTACTGATTTCGCCTACACGAAAAAAGTTTTCTTCTAGTGCTCGCCGGAGTGCATGTTGTTCCCACGACTTTTTTTCCAGCATTTTTATTTCAGTTTTCATTTTCAGCTAATCAATAGTGTACAATGTACCTATTCTGTATATCCGTGCTACTGGAATGTTATTCATTGTGAAGACAAGTAGCTCATTTCGTTAATACGATGCGTGATTGATTATTTGTTTATAATAAGTCAATTTAATCTTATTTATACGTTCATTCGGTAGAAAACAATATATATATATATATCATATATAATTGAAAAGAAAATAGGTACCCAGACGAATTATTTTTACTTATACTCAAAATTATTATCTGTCCCCGTCATCGTCTATATGATGTCGGACAATGCATAGCTGAAATCCACGTCACAATATTTTGATATTGAAATTGCAACGTGTATACATAATATATTGTTAAGTCACGAAAAATTATATATTTCTGTAAAATATTGTTTATAGTAACAAAATTAAATCGTTTCATATTTTTTTTTACATTATTTACTGTAATAATATCACTCATAGTGTATATATCTTTCATCAATCGGCGAAAATTAACAAAATAGAATATTAAAAATTATCTTGGGAATATTCTCATATTCTTCCACTTTTAAGTTTATTGAAAATCATGTGAATTACTACACATATAGATGTGTTACAATTTCGATCCAACTATTATTAAACTAAATCTCGTTAAATTAAAGGAAACAGTAGTTATATACGTAATTGAATGTATACAACAATAATGTTGTAAGCATATTAGTTATATTTGTATCAAACTGTAATCCTTTTAACTAAAATATTAATTTTTAAGCTCAATTTTATTTAAATTAGTTATTATACATCTTATATGTATAAAGGTATGTACGTTTTATTATGTTATATACATATCTATCTATATATTCTTCAAGAATTCGATGAACAAATATTATATTTTTTTCCCCCATAGGGTAAGATATATCTCATACTCGTAATGAGATAACACTGTTTTTATAATACTAGGCACACATAACATAACATGGTTAAGACATGGTATATTTCCGATAAAAAATATACACCTATAAAAGTAAAACGTAAGATAAAATAAATCTTAAGTTATAATAATAAAGGTTAAAGGTTGACACTCGCAGAAGAATCGTTCTTCAATTATCACGTGCTATACACTGCAGGTGGTTTGACATTGTTTAATATAGTTTACTGTACCAGTATTTCATGTACGGTTTACACTGTCAACATTTTGCAAAACAGTTTGGTGTCTTTAAATTATACACGCTTAATATTTTTCATAAATCTACGTGTTAAGTATCAAATTAATTATTAAATACGTAGTACAATGTATAATGCGTCAGAATAATTAATACATTATTAATATTTTCCAGTTGATTAATTCGAAAAACTTTTGTATATTAGATGTTTATACGTTATGTTTATCGTCTTATGACGATAATTTTTCTTCCACGTTTTTCAGACAAAATTGCAAAATTTTCGAAATCCTTCAATTTTTGTTCGATTGCTTTTATTCGATTTGAAATTGTTAACTTATCTAGTAATATTGGATTAATATAAATTAAAATTAATAAATGATTAATAGGTGTATAGATAAAACTATAGATTAGCTATTCGTATAGATATTCGTATAACAATATACAATAAAACTCTTACTCGACCAGTGCTGGTTCGCCATTATACCGTTAACGACGACAATATACACAACGATCCAAGATAATATTTTCATCGTCGTAAATTTTAATTTCTTATTCTAACTCGGACTAATTTCCTTGTAAACAAACAATTAAACTAGTTTAAAATCACCTGTTATCACGGCCTTGTGATTTGTCACTTAGTACCAAATGTAGCTTTAATGAGTGATAAATAGTCTACCATAATAATCATGGAATAATCTTAACATCGTGTAATAGCTTGTAAACGGTTTATGTAACACCAAATTAAATCTGGATCTTTATAATATTTTTTTTTTATATTGTTATTATTGCGTATTTAAATATAACTATAGAAACTACCTTATTATGTACACAAAGTTTCTCCACCGGCAGGCTTCTTTCCTCTGTTATTTTTGTTTTTTTAGTATTACATTAGTTAAGCTTATTGATCATACTGTAAAAGATTGCCTGATTAAAAAAACGATTTTAATAAGAACTAGAGGAATATAAATTATTTTGTTTTTTTTTTATTTTAATATTTAATTTTTAATATTACATTTTTTATACTAAGTAAACATTTAAATAAGCAGCATTGTGTTATTTTAATAACATATACAAAATATATAGGAATAGATGTATTTAATCTAAATGTAAATTTAAAAATATGGTTCACATTTTATTTACTACACCGTACGTACCTATTCTTATTTTTTACTATTCTTAAATTAATACAATGTGTTGAAATATTTTAGCTGTGTTATATTTTAATATGGTATAGTTGTTTTCGATACAATACGTAACACTAAAAAGTGTCCTTGGACCTAACCACTATATGGTTGTATTATGTTAGAAATTGATGTATATAGGGTCGAAAGAGGAATAAATCCTTTCGGTACTATACAAACATTTGTTTAGTCAGGGTTAAAGAATTTAGTTGCCTCCCTCGCCGTTACTGTTCAAAGACGCCGATTATGGATGTATTTACAATGGTGATTTTTTTGAAAAGGACAAAAAAGATATCATAATTGACGATTATTCCACAAATGACACTGAGGAAATGGTTTTATAGTTAAAATCAATATTATTAAAAGTGTGTTGGATTTACAATGTATTTAGAGAAACGTGGCACAAGTATTTACAAGTTTTAAGCTAAAATACCATATTTAATATTTGTTAACATTCATATGTGAATTAGATTTGATTAAAATGATAATACTAATTAATTATTGAAGATTTTTTTTGGGTTTTACCTGATTTTATTTCAATTCGCTCCAAATATTATAATGTAGGTGTCTATGGGCTACGTGTTTAATTTTCCAACAATATCGTGCGTAACTGCACGAATATTATTTGTATTTAAATGCACTCGCCTCTGAAATTAGAATGGAAACCGAAATATACAAAATAAATTATTAACCTTGTCTTTTACAATTGACCACTTAGAATTAAGTAGACTGTCAATTTGAATAACGTGTACGGCCGCCTTCCTCCCCCGCGGCCAACGCATAAATGATAATTGAAGTGTTTTGACATTATATAAATATACATTAACATGTGTATGCGTTTCCGTTCCGTCTCCTATGGAAAAGCTATGTTTTTTCTGTTTAATATTATCATTATTGTTCGAAGGATGTTGTGTTTTGTAAATGATACGTATGTGACTTATTCATTACATTATTGTCCTCTGTAATAGTATGCGTGCGTATATTGGACTATAAAAGACCCGGACAATCGTCATTAGATGGAACCATGTACGTGTGTGTGTATAGGTAAATATACATGTAATGTGTGTAGACGTTCATGTACATAATATTATATGTTTTCAATTCTATTCGAGAGAAGAAATATAATTGTTATAACGATAATAATGATAATAATAATAATAATAGACCGGTCGACTTCTTCGAATATATATGCTGATCCTATTTTGTGTCTGACTTGTTAATCAAGCCGCACAAGAAAACATAATGTTGTAATTAAATATGATAATTACTCATTAACATATATTTCCACTTGCATCATCGAATTCTTGAAAAATGAATATATATTTACTATTTAGGTGCGCTATTATAACATTCTTCTAGGGCTTTACGGATTTATGTACACTATGTGATTAAAATGATTTCTCATTAAATGACTATTTCATTGAAACGTTCATCGGGTTATGATGGACATGTTTCTTAATTAATTTTAAATTTCAAAATTAACGAACAATTACTTAAATCATATACCATGGTATAATTGTTATTTATTAGACACTCCCATAACGATATTTTTAATCATCATAAACTATAATCACTATCAATTTTGACATGATATGATGTGTACTTTACTGCGATTTTAAAATATTGTGAAATCAGGTCAAACTCGAATTTTATACATACATTTTATAACAGTAATAATAAGCTGTATATTATATTGAGTAAACGCTCAACATATTTTCATATTAAACGTTGATATTTATACACTCTTTCTATGCAATAATAACGATACATTTTATTTAGTCAATGAAAATATGAATCGTTAACAATTTATAATGGGTAATTTTATTAAGATAATACACGAACGGCAAACCTTGAATATGACATTGAACTGTCTGTAATTCAAACCAAAATAAATAATATTCAATTTTCATGTTTCTATGAGTTGATCGATATTATAATATATATTATATACGATATAATCGTACATTTTATAATGTTATAAATGTCAGTATAAATACAAAGCTTTAATTACACGTTTTATTGCATATTATAATTATGGGAATTAAAATATATTTTCTTGTAATTACTTAATAATACCTAATACGGTTACAAACAGTGTTTACAATCGATGTCGAG